TTTTTACAGAGAGGAAGGGAGAGAGATAGAGAGTTAGAAACATCGATGAGAGAGAAACATCGATCAGCTGCCTCCTGCACATCTCCCACTGGGGATGTGCCCGCAACCCAGGTACATGCCCTTGACCAGAATCGAACCTGGGACCCTTCAGTCCGCAGGCTGACACTTTATCCACTGAGCCAAACCGGTTTTGGCATTTTCCATTGATTTTTAGAGAGAATGGAAGGAGGAGAGACAGAGAGAAAAAAAAACACATCGATATTTGTGACGGAGACACATTGATAGATTGCCTCCCACACTTGCCCCAGGGTCCCAAGGATTGATCCTGTAACCTAAGTACGTGCCCTTGATTGGAATTGAACCGGGGACTCTTCAGTCTGAGGGCTGACGCTCTACCCACTGAGCCAAACAGGCTAGGGTGAAAGTTGTTGTTGTTTTTTTGTCTCTGTTTTCTTTGTTTGTTTGTTTTGTTTTTAATGCATGGCTAAGGAAAGCTGTTTCCCTACGCACAACACTCTGACACCTAGTGTATGGGTTTCCACACCAAGAGATCCTCCGGTTTTCTGTGGACGCCACCCGGGTCAGTTCAGTTCTGACACTAACTATCCAGACGTTAAGGACTCAGTCCCGCAGGACTGCCCCCGCCCCCATCAGCCTCCAATAGCAGTCCCCACGCAGGGTTCCCACAACCTCTTCCTCGGGTTCAGTAATTTGCTGTAATGGCTCATGGAACTCAGGGGAACATTTCGGAGGTGTCCCAGTTGATTATAAAGGACATTGTAGAGGATGCAGACGAACAGGGGCAGGGAGGGGCCTAGACTCAGGCGCTTCTGTCCCCGTGGAGTAGGGGCGCATCACCCTCCCAGCACATGGATGTGTTCACCAACCCACACGCTCCCCGCATCCTGTCGTGTGGGGTTTTGTGAAGGCTTCATTACGTAGGCACGATTAATGAAGTCACTGGCTCTTGGTGATTAAATCCAATCTCCAGCCTTCCTCCTCTCCCTGGAGTGGAGGTGGAGCTGAAAGTTCCAACCTTCTAGTCACATGGTTGGTTCCTCTGGAAGTAAGAAGCGTTCTAGAAGCTCTGTGCCAGGATAAAGACCAAATATATATGTTTTATTATATCACAGAATCATACATGCAAAGGCCAATTTTCTTCAGAGAAGGGTACTCACGGACTCAAAGTTCTCAGGATCATCTGTATCTGCTCATTATTCCCATTCGAAACCCCAGGAAACCACTCCTCCCCACTCAGTGGCCTGACTTCAGCAGAAGAGTCCGTCGGAACTGTGCATTGCAATTGCTTTGCTGTTCTGTAACCCATACAGTCAGGCCTTGGGCCTGAGCACTTGCACCTGTAAAAGAGAAGTTCTGGAATGGTTTCCAAAAAAGAAAACAACCAGATGTCCTCTCACACACAAGAATGCTTCTGGTGCCCTGACCAGTGTGGTTCAGTTGTTCGGAGTGTATACCAAAAAGGTGGCAGGTTCAATTCCTGATCAGGCACCATACCTAAGCTGCCGGTTGGGTGCATGCAAGAGGCAGCCTGTCGATGTTCCTCTCTCACATTGATGTTTCTCTCTCTCCCTACCCCATCCTCTCTCTAAAATAAATTTAAAAAAAGAAATAAACTCCGATCTCTCTCTTATCTTAAAAAAAGAAAAAAAAAAGTTCCTCTTAACAACAAAATTGGAAACCACAGGCCTTCACCAGGAGAATGGACAATTAAGTTTTGAGCTATGGATCTGTACGTTGGAATATGATAAGGCAGAGAAAAGGAATGTTCTAGAACCATTTGCTTTAACATAGATGACTCTCAAGAATGTGTTCCTGAGTACATGGAATCAAGTAACAGAACGTGAACAGTAGGATATATTTTTGTAAAGTTGAAAATCTTGCACAAAACAGCAATTTAGTATTTGAAGATCTAAGTAAAGTGAGGGGAAGAGTCATTAAAAAATCTGAGGAAGTGTATTCCAGGGAGAGGGAGCAGCCAGTGCAAAGGCCCTGAGGCCAGACGGTGCCTGGCGTGTTGGAGGAATTGCGAGGAGGCCCCTGTGGTTGAAGCAGAGTGAATGGGGGGGGGGCAGAGAATGAGAGGAGGGGAGGGCAGAAAAGGAATGGGGCAGGTCACGCAGGGCCTATGAGCCACGGGAAGGAGTTGGGCTTTTCCTCTGAGTGAGGGAGGAGCCAAGGAGGGTTCTGAGTAGAGGAGAGACATGGCCTGACTCAAGTGCTCACAGGGTCCCCTGAAACCCCCAATGAAGGGAGGACAGACTGTGAGGGGTGAGGGCAGGAGCCCTGGAACAGACCAGAAGCGACTGCGTTGGTCCAGGTGTGTGACGATGGGGAATAGGGCAACAGCCCACTTTTGCTTATGAGCCAGAGGTGGGTGTGAGAGAAATGCGGGAATCAGGAAGGACCCTAAGATTTCTCTTTCTGAGCTACCCAATAGTTCCGTTTTTCTCTCGAGTCCTTACATAGGTGGGCTGAGCAGGCACAATAAAATACAACTGTTCGTTTATAAACTGGCCCCCACACAGAGGGCGACGAGAGACCGCAGAGGCAGATCACCCAGATCAACGGGGCGGGTTTAATAAGCAAAGGGACTTACATGCGCGGCTTGTCTGGATGACCACCAGATGGGTAGGCCCTGCCCCTGCCCACCAGAATCTTAAACGTTTATATAGAGGCCTTAACGGGGTCCAGTCACGTATTCAAGCATGTCAGACTCTCAACAACACCTTCCTCTCCAAGGCTGTGTCCTTGGCACAGACCCCACTGAGGGGACAGTAAGTGAAGTGTACATTCCAAAGACAGGGCAGAGGTGAGGAGCCTCCCGTTTGTCCAGGTCCAGCTCCAGGGCCAACTGGTAGTCAAACCTTCTTGATGATCCCCTCCAACAACGATACATCCCTTTTATTCCACTCCTTTTTAAACAAAACATATTTTTATTGCTTTCAGAAAGAGGAAGGAAGAGGGGGAGGGAGAGAGATAGAAACATCAATGATGAAAGAGAATCACTCATCAGCTGCCTCCTGTATGCCCCCTACTGGGGATGGAGGCCACGACCCAGGCATGTGCCCTGACCGGAATCATACCGTGACCTCCTGGTTCATAGGTCGACGCTCAACCACTGAGCCACACTGGCTGGGCCCTCTCCTTTATTATAGACACTCTGGCGATGCCTCCATGTCAGCACAAGTCCCCCGATTTCCCTCCAGCTGCATATTATGCCCTCAGCAGGATGAATCCCTCAGCCCAGTTTCCCAGGTACCAGGCTGTCTCTACTAGTTCACACTGGATCCCCATAGCTGCCCTGTGGGGGAGAATCTATCTTTCCTCATACGTTCTCAGACTCAGAAAGGAGTAGCCACGTGCCCCTGGCCACAGCAGTTAGGGCTCCGACCCCAGAAATAAACCTGTCTCTGCCCTTTTGTGCCGTGACCTGAAAAAGTTACTCAACCCCTGTTAAAGAAAAAATTATTCTGACGCTTGTTAAAACGGCAAGGAAGACTTGAGCCGGGTCTATTGCAATAGGGGATTGTAACAGGGTTGAGAGTTCAGGCTCCTCGCCGAATACAGCAAAGACAGCTGGGGATTGTGAGCCAAGGGAGGGGGTGTTGTCTATGGATGGAAAATGACTACATCGAGGGTAGAGGGACTCTTGCTAAACTGAACTGAGAATTCTTGCTAAAGAGAGGCCAAGGACTTATATGCATCAAAGATGAGGGACGAGGAACTTGATCAGATATCAAGGGTGGTGGGATGGCTTAGAACAGTGGCTCCCAACCTTTTTTTGGCCATGCCCCACTTAAGCATCTCTAGAATCCTGATGCCCCCCTGTGACATATAATTCTTATTATTCAAAAAGTGAACTCCTATTCACGTGGAGGGAGCCTAAAAGGCCATTAACTTTGTCTAAACAAGCTTCCAAAGACCATGGCATCCATGAAAGAGAAAAATAAAAGAACTAAAGGACAGTTGAAGTACTGAGGAAGAAACCACTAAGAAATTGTTTTAAAAATAATATTAAGTAATATAAAAAATAGCAAATAAAGCTTCAAAACATGTAAGAGAACTGAAATGCATAAATATGTCACAATATATTTATATACTGTATATGAGGCCCCTAGAACCATAAGAAATGCAAAAAAATTCACTGTTAATAACTCATTCTCGAATTGCCCCCCTTAAAAATCAAATTGCCCCCCCGGGGGGCGTGTGCCCCACGATGGGAACCACTAACGTAGAAGGAGTCTTTGCTCAGACTGGACTGGGCAAAGACAGAACACAGGCCAAGGTCGAAGGCTAGTGGAAAAGAAGGCTCAGAGACTAAAATTTGGTTCAGGGAAGGGTCTTTGGCACCCTCTGTGCTTGTTTCTCTCTGAGAAATGGGTGTAAGAGCCGCCACTCAGGACTGCGGCCAGGATCTCCTTCTCTGACAAGGACAGCGACTGGGGGTGGAGAGGATGAGAACTCAAATCAGGAGGGACATCCACGCTGCTACTGGCAGCAAGGGGGCCTCCGAGGACAGGGTGAAGGAGACGTGAGCAGCGGGGAGGGAAACGCCTCCGGTATCCGAGGAGGGGGTCTCAGCCGGCGAGGTGGGGTTGGCCAGGCAGACGCGAGGCGGTGGAAGGTGGAGTCACATGGCGGGGCTGGAGGATGGAGGGCGCGCAGCTGCAGCCCTGACCTCGGAAAAGAGGATCTGGGCTCGCGGCGGTCAGGCCGGAAGTCTAGGGTAAACAGAGTCCGAAGAACCCCGAGTCCCCAGAAACCCGCACTCTTCCGCCCGCCGGCGCGGACTGCCCTCTGCGCCCTCCCCCCCTCCAGTCAGCCAATCGCTGACGCTGCGGCACTTCCGGCAGCCGATCGAGCCAATCGCGGTTGAGCGAAAGGCGAACCAGGGACCAATAGGAGCGCCTCTGTCACAGCGTAAGGACCAATGGTTACGTGTGACGGAAAAGGAGGCAGCCAATGAGGGTGGCCTTTTCAGGTGGCCCAGGGGAGGCGGCATCTCGGCGGCGAGCAGTCGGCGGCTGCCCGTGGTGGCAGGACCGGGTCCCGGGTTCGAGCCGGATCCCCGGGAGAGGGTGAGTGTGGCGGAGGCCGCGGGAGGGTGCCCTCCCGGAAGTCACCTGGAAGGATGCGGCCGCGGGCGGCGCAGGAATGGCCGCGCGCTGCAGGAGGTGGATAGGAGCGCCCGCTGCCTCCGGACCGGTCGATGCCCGGTGGGTGCCCGTAACATTTCCTGCCCCTGCCGGCAGGGTTCGGGGCTTGGATGTGTGGTGTGCACGCTTCCTGAGTGCAGACCTCATCCCGACCCCATCGTCACAGCTGGGTCTGGGCTCAATGGGGGCGAGGAAGGATGGGCACCCCAAAAGCCCCGTCCCCACTATCTTATTTTAAATGTTAATAGACCGTAATAGTAGACATTGATCAAGGGCCCGGGCCCTGTGCACAGCCTTTTCCCTGCCTCATCTCCGTGAATCCTCCCCGCAGCCTTCGAGGGAGAGACCTTTATATGCCCATCTTCCAAATGAGGAAACAGGCTCAGAGAGAGCAGCTGATTCCTGGGGAATCCGACATTATGCTATGACAACATTCTCCTCTTCCCACCACCGTTGGTCTTAAATCAGTCAGATCATTGGAATCGCGGACAGCCCCTCCCTGGAGGTACTGGAGACCTCAGGGGGCCTGGGGCCTGGGCCTGGCCTTCAAAAGTCTGGGAGCTAGTTTGGGAGGAGCGAGCTGGACTGAACCCCTCCTAGGATTGGGCAAGTCACAGGGCCAGGGGTCACTCATGGGGGTGGATGTGGGAGGCAAGGGATCTTGGCTTGAAAGAGAAAAAGCCATCATGAGGATGAAACCAATAATAATGATTTTACTCTTGTTTTTGTCATATTTGTTATTTTTTTCAGGCCTATATCAAGGTCTGTGCTGAACATAGGAACATGCAGAATTGTGGTGAATCGGCACGACCATCTTTTGATGGCAACGGTCTCAGCATCTCCATTCTCCAGATGGGGAAACTGAGGCCCGGGAGTAGCTAAGTGACTTGCTGGACACAGGGAACGTCCAGATTCACCCCCCAGGTTCGTTTGTCCACACCTGCCTGCCTGCCTGGTTATTTTGGGAATAATGTGTTGAGAACAGATTTTTGTATTGGTGCTAGTTAGTCCAGAAAAGAGGTGGATGTTGCTATTGTTCATGACAGGTCTAAAAGGTGGGGATGCATTCCCCAACTCCATCAAACGTGTGGAAACTCAGGGAGGGGAATTGGGTGCCCGAGGTTGCACAGCAAGGGGAGTTCAGAATATCCCCTCGGGCCTCAGTCTAAATGGGCAGCAGGTTGAGGTGCTAACAGGAGCCTCTAGGCTGAGGCCTGGGGACTAATGGGTTGTCCCTTCCCAGCCAAGCCAGCTGTCAAGAGCATGCCTCTGTGCCATGGGGGGGCCACCGCCGGGACCAGCAAGCCCGATGGGGACGAAACTCAGCTCACAGCCATCACAGGAGGCCTGAAGGTGTTCCTGCACTGGGCTGGCCCTGGCAGCAGGGAGCCCTGGGTTACTTTCAGCGAGGCCACACTGACCGCAGAGGAGGTCTGCATTCACATCGCACACAAAGTCGGTGAGTCCCATGGCAGGGGTGGAGGTTTTGGCAACGGCTGAACCCCATCCATTGTCTGCCTGTTCATTCAGAAGTCATTGAGTGAGTGCCTACTATGTGCCAGCCCCAAATCAGCCTTTGTAGTGCTGATATTCTCATAGGGAGATCATAATAAATAAGAAAACTGTGTAGGAGGGCAGAGATAGATCATAGAGGAAATTTAAAACTTAAGGAGATAAGAGAGGGAGCCATGGGGTTATCTGGGGGAAGATGAGTACCAGGCTCAGGGAACAGCATGTGCAAAGGCCCTGAGGTGGGAACTTGTCAGCAACAGCTAGATCTGAATGAGAGGAGACAGGAGTAAGTGAGGGAAAGCGGGGGGAACAGTGAAGGTCATGCAGGGCCTTGTGGGCCTCAGGGAGGACTTTGGATTTTACTCCAAGTGAGGTGGGACTGTGAGCAAAGGAGGGACGTGACTGGACTCAGGTGTTCATGGTCTTCTCTGGTTGCTGTAGGGGGAACATACTCAGGTGAGGGTGGGAGTAGGGAGGCCATGGCAGAGGTGATTTCCAGGTGGGAGATTATGAGGGAGAGGTCACTCAGGGCCAGATCTTACAATGCCTTAAACGCCAGAGGGAGGAATTGCGAGTTTAGGCTTTTTCTTGAGAGCAGTAAGGAACCAGAGAATAGCTGGAAGAGCCTGTAGTAGATGTGCTCAAAAGTATACTTTCTTCTGCCAGAGGAGGAGGAGGTCTCTCCAAGGGGACTTTGCTTACATGCCCCTTCCTCCAGGAAGTCCTCTCAAACTCCCTCCCTCATAACTGGATGGGGGGCCTTCTGGAGGATTTCTACAACACCTTGTACTTTTCAATCAGTGGCTGATTCTTAAAAGAACTCAGATGGATGTGCTGGGTGATGTGAAACACGTCCGTCAGAGGGAATAGCATGTGTGAGGAGAGCCTGCTCAATTTGAGGAAGCAAAAGTAAGAGTAACTGGAGTGTCAGTTTCAAGAATTTGGAAGAGAAAGTAGGAATTGAAACCAGGCCATAATTGTAAGGTCCAGGTCATGGTTATTCTGTGATGAGGGGCAATAGGGAGCCAAGGAATGTTTAAGCCAGAGAATGAAGCAGTCAGATGGGCTTTAGGAAGTTGTCTCACAGGGAGGCATTCTCCTGCGGGAGGCAGTACACCGGGATGCAGTGACAGAGCAGTTTGGCATCATCTAACACGGTTGGAATGTGCATTCTCTGAGGCCACACAGCTCTGCTCCAGATAGTCACCATACAGACACTCAGCTCATGTGTTCCTGGAGACGCACATGAGAATGTTTAGAGCTTCCTCGTTTATCTTAGTGAAAAATGGGAGACCATCTAAAGTCCCTCTGCAGGAGAATGCACAAATAAACAGCCATATAGTTGAACACTGGAATACTATAGAGCCAGGAAAAGGGAATTTAACCAATGTTACAAGTATCATCAGATAGCATGAAAAAGCAAATTGCGGGGTATTGGTGGTATAATACCACATTTTTGGTTTATAATATTCAAGACTAGATCATAGAGGATATGAAAATAATAAATTCTACTTCAGGAATATGGTTACCTCTTTGTGGGAGGAAAAAGGAAGTGGATGTAGATGGGGGCTTCAATTGTACTTTCTAAGTTTTACTTCTTTATCTGGCGGCTGGTACTTAAGTAATTATGGATTATTCTGAAAGGACTCTTTTATATAAAAAAATTAAGTGATGTATAGTTAAAAAATGCCTCAGATGGCCAGTGTGGGGAATGACAGCAAGTCCGGAGGCTGGACTCGGCCTGGGCTTTGGATTTGAAGGAAGTGGCTGGATCCTAGAGAGATGGTGGATATAGAAAGAGCAGGACTTTTACCCATCTGAAGTGAAAAGGGTGGGAGGAGTTGAGAACAAGGACCAAGTCCTGGCTTAGGAACTGGAGAGAGGCCCTGGCTGGTGTGGCTCAGTTGGTTGAGTGTCATCCTGGGCACTGAAAGGTTGCCAGTTCGATTCCTGGTCAGAGCACATGCCCAGGTTGTGGGCTTGATCCTCGGTCCAGGTGGGTCGGGGTGCATGCAGGAGGCAGCTGATCGATGATTTTCTCTCCCTTTCTCTCTTTCTCCTCCTCCCTTTCCTTTCCTCTCCCTCTCCTTTCTCTCTGTTAAAAAAAAAAAAAAGTCAATGAAAGCGTATTTAAAAAAGAACTGGGCACAAGAGGGGCAGGTGTGGGGAGCTTGGATGAGATCTGTTTGGAACAAGCACCTCTAAGGGAGCTTTTGACATCCAGGAGGAGACAGCCAGGAGTAGTTAGGTATGTTTTCCCGGAAGAGATAGCCAGGAGGTAGTTAGGTATGTTTTCCCGGCTGCAGTTCAGAGAGAGTTCAGAATAGAGTTGTGTTAGTCAGTCTAGGATAGGTTTAGCTGCACTAACAAGCAATCCCCCCACCCCCAACCTGTGATTTTCCTGGGTTAAAACAGTAAAGGTACCTAAAATCAAATACAGGTCAGATGGGGTAGGGAAGATGGCAGGAGAGTTTATTTCCAGGCCTGGAAGTATGCGTATCTGTCTGCTCACATCCCATTGGCCAGAAACCAATCCAGTGGCCCCATCCAAGCTGCAAGGGAGGCTGGAAAATGTGGTCTGCTGTGAGGCCACAGCGTGGTCAACATATTGCATTATTCTCTGTCAGCAGGGGAGGAGGCCTAGGGAAGGCTTGTGAAAGGGGATAGCCGTCTGGGGGCCCGTAGGGTCATGGCCGCAGACGCTGACACCAGATGTTCTTTCTTCCCTGTTCCAGGCATCACTCCACCCTGTTTCAATCTCTTTGCCCTCTTTGATGCCCAGGCCCAGGTCTGGCTGCCCCCAAACCACATTTTTGAGGTCTCCAGAGACACAAACTTGACGCTGCACTTCCGCATGAGGTGGGTGAAGGCCTGTGGGAAGGCTTGTCCCCTTTGTTCTGTCTCTTCTCTCCCCATGAATCCCATCTTCCTGGAGCTGAATTGGTACTCAGCCCTAGCTGTGCCCCTCCCTTCCTGTAGGTTTTATTTCCGCAACTGGCATGGCACAAATCCTCAGGAGCCAGCTGTGTACCGCTGCAGGCCCCCAGGGGCCGAGGCTTCGTCAGAACAGGCAGAGCAGGGGGTGCAACTCCTGGACCCAGCCTCCTTTGAGTACCTCTTTGAGCAGGTAGGAGCAGGGCTGGGAAGTGGGATTATTTATGGGGGACTGAGGGGCAGTTGAGGCACCCCCTCTTCTTTCTACAATTATAGCTAGCAGGTTTCAACTCACACAACCTGGGGTCCTTTTTCTACGTGAACCAAAGGGTTCTGAGAGTCTTAGGATTGCGTGGGAAAGAGTGCTGTGATCGATTAGTGATGTCTGCCACAGGCATGGTCATGGGAGGCATGCATGCTGTATATTTAGCCTTTGCAGAAAATGGGAAGTCCCTCTTTCCCCTCCCAAAGTGGCCAGAAGCTGAGGAGTGAGCAGGTTTTCGGGCCTCCCTTTCAATCCGATTTCCCCACCCCTAGGGCAAGCACGAGTTTGTGAATGATGTGGCATCGCTGTGGGAGCTGTCGAGTGAGGAGGAGATCCACCACTTTAAGAACGAGAGCCTGGGCATGGCCTTTCTGCACCTCTGTCACCTGGCTCTCTGCCGCGGTGTTCCCCTGGAGAAGGTGGCCAAGAAGACCAGGTGCCTGGGCATGGGGCAGAGACACTGCGGAGGTGGATGGATATATGTGGGCATCCGGGGGCCAAGGCAGAGACCTTGTATACTGCCATGCCTTCATTTATTGAGCACCTTCTGTATGCTGGCACTAGTTGTGGTTGTTGGGGACACAATAGTGAACAAGTCAGACAAAAATCCCTGCCCTCTTGGCTCTCACATCTGGTGAAAAAGACAGGCAATAAAATAAATACAAAAGTAAAATGTATAGTGTTACAGATGGTGATAAAGTGCAATGGGGGGAAATTAAGTAGGAAAAGAGAAAGAAGGGGAATGTCAGGGGATGAGGGGAAATAATTTAAAATTGAGTAGTTGGGGGATTTCTCACTGAGCAGGCGATGGTCACATTCAAAGATTTGAAGGAAGTGAAGGAGGAAGCCATATGGATGTCTGGGAGAAGAGAATTCTGTACAGAGGGACAGCCAGTGCAAAGGCCCTGAGGCCGACTGTGCCTGATATGTTGGAGGAGGTGTGGCTAGAGTAGGGTGATCTTGGAGAACTTCCTAGTATTCAAGGGCAGGAGGAGTTAGCTATGTTTACCTCCATTGCCAAGACTAGAGTAATCGGGGCACACTGCCTGGACGAGGCAGCAGGAAAGCTGGGTCTTTCAGGACCAGCAGTTCTCCTTAAAGCACATATTTTTCAGTCCCTGTCCTGTTATCACTCTGGAGGACTAGGGCTGTGGCAGCAAACGAAGCCCAGGGTGCTAGCAAACCCAGAGGAGGCAGCCTATCCAGCCTGGAGACCAGAGAACACTTCCCAGGGGAGGTGATATTTCTGCTGAGACCTAAAGGTTGAGCCCTAGCCAGTTTGGCTCAGTGGATAGAGCGTTGGTCTACAGACTGAAGGGTCCCAGGTTCAATTCAGGTCAAGGGCACATGCCTGAGTTGTGGGCTCGATTCCCAGTGAAGGGCATGCAGAAGGCAGCCAATCAGTGGTTCTCTCTTATCATTGAAGTGTCTATCTCTTTCTCTCTTTCCCTTCCTCTCTGAAATCAATAATAATATATTTAAAATAAAAATTAAAAAAGACCTAAAGGTTGAGTCGTCTTTATCCAGATATGGACTATCTTGGCGCAAAGCATTCTAGGCAGATGGAATAGCATATACAAAGGCCCAGAGGCAGAAGATGGCAAAAGCCTAATTCCAGGGGAACTGGATGTAGAATATGATTGCTCAAGTGCAGGAGTTGGCAAGACACTAGTCAACTACTTCCAGTCGGGAGCCCTGGAAGGCTTGGAAGTGGGGGTGGAAGGTAGCTAGAACCTCAAGCTTTAGGGTCCCTCTGGTCAAGGGGTGGGAGAGAAGGCTAAGGACATAGAGACTGAGGCTTGGAAACATGTGATCTAGGGGGGCTATACTGGTAGGTGATGGGGAGATGGCTTAATGGGGCAGGGCTTTGTGAAGAGCAGAGCGGCTCCCAGAGCTGTTCTTTTTATTGATGATCATAATATTAGTGATAGATACAATAGCGACTTCAATGATAATAACAGCTGACACTGACATAGTCCTTCTTATTCTGTCATCAGCCCTATAGGTGGGCACTGTTTGCACCCATTTTTCGGATGAGCAGACACAGCCTTATAGAGCTTAAGTTAGTTATCTAAGAACCGGGATTTCCGCCCCATAGTCCCCTCCTGAGTCCTGTGCCCTAGTCCCCGACACCATCCAGCCTCCCTGTGCTGGCCCTTTATTGTATTCTCTCTTTCCACCTCACGACAGCCTGCCTATTTTCTAAACAAGGCAGCTGTGGTTCAGGGAAGTTGAGTCATTTACCACATGTCATCCAGCCAGGCCTGCAACCCAGGCCCCTAACCAGCCCCTCTCGGTCATTTCCACAGCTTCAAGGACTGTATCCCGCGCTCTTTCCGGCAACAGATCCAGCAGTACAATGCGTTCACACGGCTACGCCTGCGGATCATCTTCCGCAAGTTCCTGCACGCCTTCCAGCCGGACAGCCTTTCCCAGCACATAGTCATGGTCAAGTACCTGGCCACACTCGAGCGGCTGGCACCCCGCTTCGGCACGGAGCGTGTGCCTGTGTGCCACCTGGAGCTGCTAGCCCAGGCCGAGGGGGAGCCCTGCTATATCCAGGACAGTGCACAGGCCCCTGGAGATCCCAAGCCCAAGTCTGCGGTCGAACCGCCCACCCACGAGGTGCTGGTGACCGGCAATGGCGGCATCCAGTGGCGGCCAATACAGACAGAGGTGAGCAGGGTGCCTCTTCCATCTGGGGGTCCAGGTGGGGTCGGGCGGGAGCTCCTGTTCAACCTTGGCCATGGTCTCTGAGGGGGACTATGGTGAGCCCTTTCCCCTCATGGCTCTGGGGTATGTCCTTCTGTTCCCCGGGGTCTGTGTCCTCTGCCTGCCCCTGGGGACCTGATTTCTGGGGTCTGTACCTCTGGGAACCCCTTTGGACTTGGGGGTGAGAGGGGTAGGCTCCTCCTCTCTGCCCTCCCTGAGGTTCCTGCTTCTGGTATGTGTCTCTCTTGGGGGTGGGTCCCCGGTCCCCCCTGTGACACCATGACTTAGGAAGAGATACTTGAGACTTCCTGGTCCCTCCAGCTCCGGCTCCAGCTCAGCCTGCCCCCATGGGGAATGTGTGGGGGACTAAACAGGCATAGCCCTGCTCAGATCAACCTCCCTAGGTGCTGGGTTTCCAGGGTCCCGGTGGTGGTGACGGTGGCAGCAGCAGGAATCCTCATGCTGGCTTCTCTGGGAAGAAAGCCAAGGCCCAGCAGCAGGGCGGCCAGCCCGTGGACAGGCCGCGGGATGCGCCGTGGGCCTACTTCTGTGACTTCCGGGACATCACCCATGTGGTGCTGAGAGGACGCCACGTCAGCATCCACTGTCAGGACAAGCGCCTGGTGGGGCCCGGGACGGGGCTGGGCTGAGGGCCGGGTGCGGGCACACCCGGCTGTGACGCCTGCCTGACATCCCCGTGGCCCGTAGGAGCTGACCCTGCCTTCCCCGGCCATCGCCCTGTCCTTGGTGTCACTGGTGGACGGCTATTTCCGCCTGACGGCCGACTCGAACCACTACCTGTGCCACGAGGTGGCTCCTCCACGGCTGGTGATGAGCATCCAGGACGGTGTCCACGGACCCCTGCTGTGAGTGTCCGAAGGGCGGCACGGACTGTGGTGGCGGCAGCTGCCAACTAGACCCTGCGTTCTGAAGGACTGTGGGGCTCAAGTGAGATGTGTGCAGATGTTTGTGTGCATGCACTTGTGTGAGTGCGTGTGTGTGAGCACGTGTGTGCAAGCATTTGTGTCTGGTCTGTACCTGTGAGTGTGAGCACGTGTTTGCCTGCGCGAGCATGCATTATGTGTTTAAGTATTCACGCATACCTCCGTGTGCATCCATTCATATCCATGAGTGCATACGTGTGCTCACTCATGTATGCTTACGTGCAGGTGCACCCACATGTGTGCTTGTCCGTGCGTGTGCGTGCATGCGAGTGCGGCACCAGGGATTGTAGAGGGGGAGAGAACACCTGCAACAGGGTGGGCGGCGTGTCGTGCTGAGGGGGCCTGGGTTTGGGACTGTCGCTGTGCGTGTCCGGATGTTTGACAGCCCATGTGGTGTGTGGCAGTGTCACTGCTCCAGTGGCTGCACATAAAATTGTCGTCACACATTTTCACGTGCGATGTGATGGGTGATTTTAGGGGGCTGTGTTGTACAAATATTGGTGGCCATTCAGAAATATGTGTGGGTGTGTACAGCCCCACAGATGTGTGTTGTCCCGGTAATTGTGGGTCACTGAGCGATTCTGTGTGGACCTGTGGGGTAGAGGCTATGAAGTGACAGTGCTTATGGGGCAATCAGATGCCTGTGTGGCCGTCCTGCATGCTGCCAGGTCGTGGTTAGTGACTGTCAGCTTATCTGGTCATTGGCCTTGTGCCTGGGTGTCCTTTGTCCTACCTGTAGCCCTGGGACTTGCCCCTGAGGGTTTCTGAGAGGTCTGAGCCTAGTCTATGCAGAGGAGGGTGCAGTGGCCGTTTTCCCTCTGGAGACTGTGTCTTGTCACGGCTAGGTGTGTGCCCCTCTTACAGCATCCGTGGCCACGTCAGTGTGTCTTAGTCTGTGCCGGTTGCTCTAACAGACTACCACAGACCAGCTGGCTTAGAAACAACAGACATTTATTTCTCACAGTCCTGGAGGCCAGGTCTGGTGCCAAGTTCAAGGTACCAGTAAGCCCAGTGTCTGCTGAGGGCCCACTTCCTAGTTCAAGACAGCTTTCTCCTTGCTGTGTCCTCCAATGGTGGGAAGGGGCACGGAGCTCTTTGGGGTCCATTTCATGAGGCATTAATCCCATTCATGAGCGCTCCATCATCATGACATCATCACCCTGCCAAGTCCCCACCTCCCATACCATCACCTTGGAGGTTAGGGCTTCAACATGGGAACTTCAGGGGGGCACCAACATTCAGTCTGTAGCAGTGTGTGCGCCGCACATGCAGGCGTCTGGGCCTGTGTAGCGGTGTCACTTGTAGTGTCTGTGCTCATGGCGGCTGTCACCTCTGGGTCTGGGCTGTTGAGGCCCTGCATTGCCTTGTTACGCTGGGGAAGCAGCTGTGTCTAGGGTCAGCTGTGGGACAGGCTGTTCATTGTGTGTCACCCGGTGAGTGTACGGCTGGGTGTGTGCCCATCAGCATTTGACAGCTGATTCCTATCTGTATGTGAGTGTCACTCTGTCAGTGATGGTGTCTGACAGGCACGCACAAGTGTGCCTGTGTCTCTGAGTTGTCATGTGTGACTGTCCTAGTTGTGTGTGTGTGTGTCCCAGACTCTGTCACCACATAAGCAGATGTGTCTGACATTTGTCCCAGCTGGGAGTGTGCCTCTCCGGGCGGGTGGGCCCAGCAGTGCCCCCTGACGCCGCCCTTGTCCTCCACAGGGATCCATTTGTGCTGGCCAAGATGCAGCGCGAGGATGGCCTCTACCTTATCCACTGGAGCACCAGCCACTTCAACCGCCTCATCCTCACGGTGGCCCAGCAGGACCAGGTGGGCCTGGGGCGGGGGTTCTGGGCTGGGCTGGGTGTACTCCCTGCCTAGACCCCTGCTCACCGCCCTCGTCCTGCCGCCCACCCCAGGCACCCGGCACGCCGCGTTTGCGCCTGTGGAAGTTCCCCATTGAGCTGTGTGAGGGCACCTTCCGGCTGCAGAGCTGGGACCGGTCCTTCCCCAGCGTGCGGGAGCTGCGGGCTGCCCTGCAGGGCTGCTCACTGCGGGCCGGTGACCACTGCTTCTCCCTGCGCCACTGCTGCCTGCCGCAGCCAGGAGGTATGATGACAGGGGGCCACAGGGTAGGGGGGTAGCTCCCCCCACGCCAGCCATCAGTGACTTTGCTCCCGCCCCCCCAGAGATCTCCAACCTCATCATCATGCGGGGGCCTCAAGCCAGCGCCCGGTCTCTCAACCTCAGCCAGCTCAGCTTCCACCGGGTCTGCCAGGATGACCTCACCCAGGTGTGTGTGGGTGTGGGGCCCCTGGGGCACAGGGGGGACGGGGAGGGCCGTCACCAGCTGTTGTCACGGAGATGTTCCCTGCCATGTTCCCCCAGCTGTCCCACTTGGGCCAGGGCACGAGGACCAATGTGTATGAGGGCCTCTTGAGAGTTGGGGGCGGAGGCCCTGAGGAGGACAAAGCATATGTTGGGGACCCCACCTTGCCCAGCGGGGGCCATGGGCAGGAGCTGCGAGTGGTGCTGAAGGTGTTAGACACTAGTCACCATGACATCGCCCTGGTAAGTCAGAGTGATGGGGGTCGGGAGAGCGGCAGGGTCGACGGCCACCTGACCTGCCCTGCCCTCACAGGCTTTCTACGAGACGGCCAGCCTCATGAGCCAGGTGTCCCACGTGCACCTGACCTTCGTCCATGGTGTCTGCGTGCACGGCTCTCAAAGTGAGTGGACCCCAACACACACGCCCTGCCATTTATAGGCCGACTCCCCTCACTTGTACCCACTACCAGGGCTGTACCCCAACCCTTGACCTGCATCCCGATCCCTGACTCCACACCGACCCTTGACCAACATCCTGACTATACCGCAATCTGTGACTAACCAATGCTCACCTGTACCCCAACCCCTGACTATATGCCAACCCACTGCAGCTCAGCCTCTGACTGTACCGTGGCCATTACCTGCACCCCAACCCTCAACCATACCCTGACTCCTGACTGCATCCCATCCTTCATCCACCACCCAGATGCCTCTACAGACCAGCCCCCATCTGCCCTCTGACCCCAGCAGGACTGTGACCCCATGCTGACCCCAGCCATGTTGGGCACTCCAGGCCTCCAAGACCTCAGGCCCTGCCCCACCCCTGTGTAACTCAAACTCCTTGCCCAGGGCGACCACAGAACCTGAACCCCGTGTGTCCATCTCTCTCGCTTTCCCCTAACACCGGCCTGCACCCAACTCTACATACTGTCCACCCCGAGCACTTCCACCCTGTGGGATCCTAGCATCACTGATGCCCCAGTCTCAAGCTCTGTACCTGCACTCGTCTGCACCCGCCTCCAGGTCCTCGGGCCCACCCTCACCTTTCTCACTGACATGCAGCTGTTCTCTACCCGGACTCTCCCTGGACCCAAATGACACCCTTCGCCTCTGCCTCACCCTGCACCCACCTCAACCTATGCTCCAACCTGCAATTCTTCTCTCCCCAAAGTCACTCGCAAGCCCCAGACCCGCCCCAGTCCCAGACCCCATGTTCCTTCCCTGGCGCCCTGGCGGGTGGAGCAGGTGGGCAGCCCCTGCAGCAGCTGGCCTTTGCAGATATCATGGTGACAGAGTACGTGGAGCATGGACCCCTGGACGTGTGGCTGCGGCGGGAGAGGGGCCGTGTGCCCGTGGCCTGGAAGGTGGCAGTGGCCCAGCAGCTGGCCAGTGCCCTCAGCTACCTGGTGTGTGGCCTGTGGGTGGGGCCTGGGTCAGCAGGGTGGGCCAGTTCTGGGTGGTGAGGCCTCAACACATCCTTCAATCCACACACTGGCCCCAGGAGGTCTTTCCACAAACCTCCTCTGCTCATATACCCCCGTGGCTCCCTTCTCCCCTGAGAGAACACCTAACTCCTCCACTTGGTGTCCTGTGAGGCCTGGCCCCGGCCGCCTCTGTCACTCTCTCTTGCCATTCATCCCCGGCCCTGCCTGGTTCTCTCACCCTGGGTTCCAGAGCACCCACTGTGTGCCACGCTCTGCCATGGGCCTTGGGAACACACAAAGAACAAAACAGACAGAAGCCTCTATCCTTTGGGGAGCCAGAGTTTTTAGTTAAAGAGATAAACAAGAAATAGTAATTCAGTGTTACATAATATGTTAGGAAGTAGTAAGCACCATTCTGGGAGAGTAGGGGTGGAGTTAAGGAGGTGCTACAAGTTGGGGAAGAGGTGAAGTTTTAAATAGAAGGGATGGAGAAGGATTCCCCAGGTGCGGCCCAGGCAGAAGGAACAGCAGTGAGAGGCGTGCCTGGCGTGGGTCCGAGGACAGCGGTGGGGTCCTCTGGCCTTTTGTTCCAGGCCAAGCGTCTTACCCACCAGCTCTGGGAGGACAGGAAGGACCCCCTGGGCAGCCCGTGGTGTCCGGTCACAGTGACATGGGTTGGGATCCCAGTAATGACCCTGGTTGTCTTTTTCACCCGGGCTGTCCCTGTGGGATGGGGTGGGGACAGGGCCTAGAGCAGTGATGGCGAACCTATGACACGCGTGTCAGAGGTGACACGCGAACTCATTTTTTTGGTTGATTTTTCTTTGTTAAATGGCATTTAAATATATAAAATAAATATCAAAAATATAAGTCTTTGTTTTACTATGGTTGCAAATATCAAAAAATTTCTATATGTGACACGGCACCAGAGTTAAGTTAGGGTTTTTCAAAATGCTGACACGCCGAGCTCAAAAGGTTCGCCATCTGACCAGAGAAGGCCCCTAGTGGTCATGCCCCCTCTCCTTCCTTTCCCAGGAGGACAAGCGCCTGGCTCATGGTAACGTGTGTGGCCGGAACATCCTGCTGGCACGTCTAGGGCTGGCGGAGGGCACCAGCCCATTCATCAAACTGAGCGACCCTGGCATGGGCCTGGGCGCCCTCTCCAGGGAGGGTGAGGACTGGGACCGGGCTGGGCATGGGGACTGGTTTACCCCACTCCTTTCACCCTTGGTGACCTCTGGCCCTGGCCCCCAGAGCGGGTAGAGCGGATCCCCTGGATGGCCCCCGAGTGCCTGTTTGGTGGGGCCAACAGCCTCAGCACCGCCGCTGACAAGTGGGGCTTCGGTGCCACCCTCCTGGAGATCTGCTTCGATGGGGAGGCCCCCCTGCAGGACCGCAGCCCAGCCGAGGTACATGTGGGTGACCCGTGGGCCTTCTCACAAAGGGGCCAGCACCTCTAAGGGGTCGAACGGTCTGGGTCCGGAGCTGCCCCCTCTGGCCTGTGGCCTCACATATGTCGCCTCATCTCTTTGAGGCTTCATCAGGTTATCTGTCAGTTGGGGTGATCTATAGTCCCGACCTCAAAGGTCATTGTGGCACACAGCAAGGGAGGGACTGCTGCCCTGGCCGGTTCGCTCAGTGGTTAGTGTCAGTCAGCTCAAGGATTCTAGGGTCAAGGGTTCGATTCCTGATCAAGGACACGTACCTCAGTTGCAGGCTCAATCCTCGGCCTATCAGTGTGCAGGAGGCATCCAATCGATGTGTCTCTCACATTGATGTTTCTCTCTCTAGCTCTCGCCCTCCCTTCCACTCTAAAAATCAATGGGAAAATATCTTTGCGTGAGAATAAAAAATAATAAAATAAGTGACTGCTTCGGTTTTAGATACAGTGACCAGGCCAGCGATGGGGGAGCACAGGCTGGAGGGGAGGTCCCAGAGGATAGCCCTGACCTAGCAGAGGCATCCGGCAAGGCTTCCCAGAGGAAGGGAGAGAGAGAGAGACAGAAACATCAGTTTGTCGTTCTGCTTATTTATAAATTCATTGGTTGATTCTTGTATGTGCTCTGACCAGAGATCAAACCTGCAACTTTGGCTTATCGGATGATGCTCTAAACAACTGAGCTGCCCGGCCAGGGCCAGGAAGTTTTAGTCTAAGTACAGAAATAGCGCAGTGGCCCAGGCTAGGGAAGGGTAGCCTCAGTACAACTTATTCAAAGACCCAGAGGCTTTGGTGCATTCTGGGAGCTGCGTCTGCAGAGCTGGGAGCAAAGGTGGGTGGCAGCCAGGACAGGAAGGGCCAAGTGTGAGGTGCTCTGCATAGCAGAGCCTGCTGGACTTGGGTTCAAGTCCTGGCTCTGCTGCGGCAGGCAAGTCGGCCGAGGCTCGGTTGCCTCATCTGTAAGTTGGGGATGATGGAACAAGGACCTGGCTGGTCTAGCCCTGCCGCTCTGGGGATTTAACTCTGCCTCTTGGGTAAGGGGCCTCGGGAGGGTGGGGTCACTCACTCTTCAGGTCCCCGTCTCCACAGAAGGAGTACTTCTACCAGAAGCAGCACCAGCTGCCTGAACCCTCATGCCCGGAGCTAGCCACGCTCACCAGCCAGTGCCTGACCTATGAGCCGGCTCAGCGGCCTTCCTTCCGCACCATCCTTCGTGACCTCACTCACCTTCAGCCCCAAAGTGAGCCCCAATCCAGTGCTGGGACCTTGGGCGGGGGTGGGGCTAGGAACCCTGTTGACACAGGCTCACTGCACCCAGGATCTCTGCACAGTGGCTCAGGGTGTGTGCTGGATCCTAAGTCACTTAAGGGGGTGATGAGAATGACCCGAGTTCTTAATATTTTGTTTGGGGACAGCCACACGTTTTTTGGGTGAATTAGACCCTCAAAATTTTTTGGTTTTGCTTTCTCTCTTTAAAAAAAAATTTTTTTTTAAATTTATTTCAGAGAGGAAGGGAGAGGGAGAGAGAGAGAGAGAAACATCAATGATGAAAGAGAATCATTGCTTGGCTGCCTCCTGCACGCCCCACACTGGGGATGGAGCCCTCAACCCAGGCATGTGCCCTGACCGGGAATCGAACCGTGACCTCCTGGTTCATAAGTTGACGCTCCAGCACGCTGGTCGGGCTTGCTTTCTCTCTTGATGAAGAGTTTGTGCCCTTTACCCAGTCATTGGACATCCCAGGTGTCAGTTTGATGCAGCCAACTCTGCATTTTGGACTAGAAGTGGAATTTTCCAGCTGTTGCAGAAGCTTTCCTGATCTCTGGGTTGGATGCTGGGGGAAGCGGTCACTTGCTCTCTGTGCCCCGGAGTGTGGGCCTGCCGGGTAAAGGGTCAGGGTCCGGCCTCACCCACTGTGGCTTTTTCAGATCTTGTTGAAATCTTGTGTGTGAATCCAACCTCGCCAGCGTCAGACCCCACAGTTTTCCACAAGCGCTACTTGAAGAAGATCCGGGATCTGGGTGAGGTGAGGGCCAGTGGAGGGGTCTGGCTGTTAGAAAGAGACCTGCATGTTGGCAAAGCCTGGGGTGGGGGTGGGGCAACGGGGCGCTGACCGTTCTGCGTCTGGGCCAGGGTCACTTTGGCAAGGTCAGCCTGTACTGCTATGACCCGACCAATGAAGGTACCGGCGAGATGGTGGCCGTGAAGGCTCTCAAGGCGGACTGCGGCCCTCAGCTTCGCACCAGCTGGAGGCGGGAGATCGACATCCTGCGCACGCTCTACCACGAGCACATCGTCAAGTACAAGGGCTGCTGTGAGGACCAAGGTGGGCAGCCATGAGGGCCTGAGGGCCTGGCCGATTTGAGCCTCTCAGCCCCAGGCTGGAGGACACTGTTCGTAGGCGAGGAGCGGGCGGCTTCCTTTCCACCCCCCGGCTCTGCTCCCTCCCTCTACCGGGACAGCGTTCAGGATGGATCCATTCTACCTGAGGACTAGGCCTAGTGTGAGCAGGTGTTGGCTTCCCCCCCCCACCCTGGGGTGGGAACTGCAGGGTTGAGGGGAGCGGCCCCCAGCCCCTGCCTCTGTCACCCTTAGGCGAGAAATCGGTCCAGCTTGTCATGGAGTACGTGCCTCTGGGCAGCCTCCGAGACTACCTGCCCCGGCACCACGTAGGGCTGGCCCAGCTGCTGCTGTTCGCCCAGCAGATCTGCGAGGTAGGCCCACCACGCCTGCTCACAGAGCTGCCCCTTCCTTTTGGCCTCGCCTGAGTGTCCCAGCCCTTTGCTTGCCAGGCTCCGCCCCTGGGCGCCCCTGGGCTGGCTCGCCTCTGTACTTACCCCTTCAACCCATCACCTGGCCACAACCCCAGCAGCTGGGTCGCCAACCCGCCTAGTTTCCACTTTGGAGACTCCCTCTGCTCACTGGGCCACGCCCAGCAGCCCAACCCCTCCCAGTTCGCCCCTCTGTGGCCCTGCCCCTGCTGTCCTGCTGGGCTCCACCTGCCATACTGCCCGCTTTTGCTCCAGGGCCCTGCAAGCCTGCCCTGACTGTCCCCCACCATCCTGGTCACAGCTCCTCAGGCCCCAACCTTGTCCCCCTGGTCATGACCCGCCCTGCCCCACCTCGCCCCTAGGGCATGGCCTACCTGCACACCCAGCACTATGTCCACCGAGACCTGGCTGCCCGCAACGTGCTGCTGGACAACGACAGGCTGGTCAAGATCGGGGACTTTGGCCTCGCCAAGGCCGTGCCCGAAGGCCACGACTACTACCGCGTGCGCGAGGATGGGGACAGCCCCGTGTTCTGGTGACCAGGCGAGACCCAGCCAGAGGGGGTGCCAGGGTGGAGGTGGATGCTGGGGTCTCAGCTGACAAGGCCTTATCTCAGGGAAACCGCTCTCTCTTAAGGATGGGGCCCTAACAGGGGCCAAGAGGCTCCCAAGCCCCAGATAAGGACTCCATCCTGGTCTGGCCCAAGGCTTGACGGCCCGCTCCCCGCAGGTACGCTCCTGAGTGTCTGAAGGAGTGTAAGTTCTACTATGCGTCCGATGTCTGGTCCTTTGGAGTCACCATGTATGAACTGCTGACCTACTGTGACTCCAGCCAAAGCCCCCCCTCGGTGAGAGCCAGGCCCACACAGCCACCTCGTACCAGAGGAGTCAGAAAGCCGTGGGTTCAATTCCCAACTCCCCCAGCTTAGCCAGTGCTTAATCCACCAGAGCCTCAGGGTCCCGGTCTGTAAAATGGGACTGTGAGGCTTGGCTTGCGACAGAAACCCACTCAAATCGGAACAGCTTATTCTGCTATTTGCGCTCGAGGGAGCAGTCGGGGCACAGCTTGATCTAGACCCTCATGTCATCATGAATCCCATTTTCTCTGTCTCTCAGCTCTGCTGTTCTCTGTGGTAGCATCTCTTAGGCAGGCTCTCTCTCTTGTGGCAACAGCTCCCCACCCACCCTGCCTTCCAGGCACCCATTTCCCTCAGGTGAGGGGTTAAAAGGGGTCCTCTTCCCCGCTTAATTCTCAGGACTATCTGATTGGCCCAGCTTGGCTCATGTGTCCTCCAGGGAGCCAATCACTGTGTATCCACGGGCCATAATAATTGGCCAGGCCTGGGCTGGGGGAGGAGCAAAGAATATGTTAGATGTTTATTCCCAAAGTCAATGATAGTGCCTGTATAGGAAGGGGAAATAAAGATCCTGTCCGGGCAAAACCAACTTGCCGGGAGGTTTAATAACACCGTAATCACCTGACTCAGACTTACTGTATGAATATGAGTTTATTTAACTTTCACAGTCATCCCAGGTAGTTGCTGTTTTTACCCCATTTTACAGATGGGAAAACTGAAGCCTAAGGAATTGAGATCCTAAGTCCAAAGTTGTGCAGTTGAGAAGTGATAGAGACAGGACTAGGACCCCTGTGGTCCCACCGACAGCTCCTGGCCTCTGCCTCGGCGGTCCTGCCTGTTGAAGACTTGTCTTGTTTCTTCTGTAGAAATTCATCGAGCTCATAGGCCTCACCCAGGGGCAGATGACCGTACTGAGGCTCACTGAGCTGCTGGAACGAGGGGAGAGGCTGCCACGGCCAGAGAAATGTCCCCATGAGGTGAGACACCCCCCCCCCCACTTTTCCCCTGTCCCTGTCGTCAGACTGTGGACAGAGCAGCGACCACAGCCCCCGTTTTTCCTCCCCCAGATCTATGTCCTCATGAAGAACTGCTGGGAGGCAGAGGCCTCATTTCGCCCAACCTTCCAGAACCTCATACCCATCCTGAAAACGGCCCACGAGAAGTACCAGGGCCAGGCCCCCTCGGTGTTCAGTGTCGGCTAAAGCCTGCCAGCAGCTCTGCTTCCGGGAGTCGAGCAGGTAGTACCCACGGAGAGGGCCTCCCGCGTCTGCCCAGGGAGACGTTGGCTTCACCCACTGCCCATGTGTTACCCCCTGAGACCCCAGGTCTGGGACCTGACTCTCCTTGTCTTCATCCATCCACGCTGTCCTAACAGTGCCATAGGCCGGGTGGCCTATACACAACAGAAATTTATTTCTCACAGTTCTGGGCTCTGGGAAGTCAACGCTCAAGATGCCAGCATTGTTACACGTGGGCGAAGGGCCTCCTCCTGATTCCTAGCCTGCGCCTTCGCACTGCGCCCTCTCCAGGTGGGAGGGGCAAGGGGTCTTTCTGGAGCCTGTTGTATATGGGCACTAATCCCACTCATGAGGGACCTTCGCACCTCCCGAAGACCCACCTCCTAATACCATCACATCGGGCATTGGGGTTTCAGCGCCTGAATCTTGAAGGGACTTAAACATTCAAGCCATAGGATCCTCCACAGCCATAGCCTTCCACAGGCTCTGGAGAGACCCAGGACCAACAAGGAGCTAATCAGTCCCTTGAATCCAACCCTCATGCCTTCCCCCAGCCCCGCCCTGGGAGCCCACCATCTCCACTAGCGAGTAATAAACTCGTTTCCTCTGCCGGGGACTCTGGTCTTTGGGTCCTTCTTCAGCAAGTGCCTGCTCTTCTGGGGACCGCAGCTGCAGTGAGACACGACGGGAGAAACCACATGCGACTGTTCAACCTTTGCTCACCTCTAGATCCCCAGTGCCAGGGATGCAGAAGGCGCCCAATAACTACTTGTTATATATCCCAACAAAGGATTGGGGGGGCCACATGGCCACATGCCACTTCGGTAAGACTGCCAGTTTCACCCTTTCCTCCCTGTGCGACCTCAGGCGAGTGACCTTCCTTATCTGGGCCTCCGTTCTCAACTGTGAGCTGGGGATGGTCACGCCTGCTGTCTCGGAGGACGAATGTAAAGAGATTGTGTATGTCGAGTGCTTAGCTGAGAGATATGCAAACAACTACTTAATAAACAGTTGATCTTGTTAATCTGGTGTTGGCCAAAGTGTTTCTCCTTCAGAGGTATCCTTGAGGTGGGTTATGTGTCAGCCACGTTGTGAAAAGCATTTGAGTAATTTGCTTTCCCATAGGACTTCTCAAGACCTTACGCCTTCAAGCTCTCCTGAGTGGACAATTACACAGGATTCTAGTGGCATTTGCTTTTTATAACAGTTTTCAGAATTAAATATTCCTTGTAATTATTATTTTTTCCGATAGGTGATATTGACATAAACAGTGACATGTCTCCCTCCTGCCCATCAGCCACCGCTATCACCTCCCTGGAGGCAACTAGTGCCATCTGGTTTCCTGTTTTTGCTTCCAGAGATGTTTCATCCAGATACAAGGAAACCCGTACACATATTATACTTTCCTATCTTTTGCAAAAATGGTAGCATGTGCAAGGATACACAACTCTAGTCTGGATTCTTGCTTCTTTTTTTCCCTTTGTCTTGGAGGTGGTCCCATACATCCAGGCCTACAGTATTTCCTTGTGCTATTTGTGGTTGTATTATAGTCCTCGCTGGGGGACATGTAGTTATCGCTCAGCCTTTGCTCTTCATGTAGTTATCTCGAGTCCTTTGCTGTATCCATGACGCTGCTGCAGTGAGTAGCCATGGGTGCATATCGTTCCACCCACATTCAAGGGTATCTGTAGGGCAAATTCCCAACAGGAATAGCTGCTTGCAGGATCTAACTTGGTAATTGGGAAAGACATTGCCACTAGAAAACGTTTTGATATTTGATAGGATTGATCTTTTTTTTCTTCTTCAAAATTATCTTGGCCTATTTTTGTGCAGCTGCTTTTTAAAAAACTTTTATATGATATGTAATACTTTCACCAATAAAGAATTATTTTTAAAAAACTTTTATATGGACAATTTAAAGCATATGCAGAACAAGGGAGAATAATGTCATGAACAGGCAGCACCAACAGTTTCCAATGCCCGTGGCCAGTTATGCTTCGACTCTACTCCCACCCCTACCTCTACCATTGGATCATTTTGAAACAAATCCCAGATATATTATTTGATCTGTAAAAGCTTCCATATATATCTCAAAAAGAGGTAACCACAAACAATCACTACAATATCATCTTCACACCTAAAAAGTTTAACAATTCCTGAGTCTGTGCCGCACTCAGAACCGCCACCATGGCTGCCTACAAGCTGGTGTTGATCCGGCCTGGCGAGAGCACTTGGAACCTGGAGAACCGCTTCAGCGGCTGGTACCATGCGGACCTGAGCCCAGCTGGGTACGAGGAGGCAAAGCGAGGCGGGCAGGCGCTGCAAGATGCCGGCTGAGTTTGACATCTGCTTCACCTCAGTGCAGAAGAGAGCAATTTGGACACTCTGGATGGTGCTGGATGCCTTAGACCACGTGTGGCTGCCTGTAGTGAGGGCTTGGCGTCTCAGTGAGCGGCACTATGTGCGTCTGACTGGTCTTAACAAAGCAGAAACTGCTGCCAAGCATGGCGAGGCCCAGGTAAACATCTGGAGGCGCTCTTATGATATCCCAACACCACCGATGGAGCCCGACCATCCCTTCTACAGCAACATCAGTAAGGATCGCAGGTATGCAGACCTCACTGAAGATCAGCTACCCTCCTGTGAGAGTCTGAAGGACACCATTGCCAGAGCTCTGCCCTTTTGGAATGAAAAAATAGCGCCCCAGATCAAGGAGGGGAAACGGGTACTGATTGCAGTCCATGGCAACAGCCTTCGGGGCATTGTCAGACATCTGGAGGGGCTATCATGGAGCTGAACCTGCCGACTGGTATTCCCATTGTCTATGAATTGGACAAGAACTTGAAGCCCATCAAACCCATGCAGTTCCTGGGGGATGAAGAGACCGTGCGCAAAGCCATGGAGGCTGTGACTACCCAGGGCAAGGCCAAGAAGTGAAGGCGAGCAGGCAGACGACTTTCCCAAGGACACCCTCCCTCCCATCCCATTCCTCTGCATCTCTCCTGTGCACATGCCACACTGACCACATCTGTAGGCATCTTAGGTTGTAGCTGCAGATGGGGACTGGTGGCTCCCAATTTTGCTTTAGCCATTTTGTCTCCTGCACCCACTCCCTTCATGCAATCTAGTCAGAATGGCCCTTCTGGGGCATGGGTCCTCCGTCCGGGCCGAGGGAGACTCTTATCTAAGAGAGTCCAGGGGTAATAACTCTGGGTTTTTTTGCTGGTGTTTTGTTTATGACTAAGGACCTGCTTGAGAGCAGGGGGCTAGGGAGGAGCCATGTTAAGGCGTGACCAATGAGGAGAGGCAAGAGAGGCTGTTTGTGTTCCCGAGAGCAGTGCTGTGCTACTCTGCAGTCAGGTGAACTGACTGGAGGCTCTGGTCATTCCAGCGGAAGATGAACGCCTGGTGATTCCAACAAACATTTCCTCCTTGATCCCTGAAAAGCTGGCTCCAGAAGATCGGGATCAATCCTGAATGTTTACGTGTTGCATGGACTTTTACAAAAAGAAAGCATATCTATATAAAATAATACAAAACAAAAACCCTTCTGGGGTTTTTAGTGGCGGTTGAACTCTTCCCACATGGGGTCATCACCAAATAAGCCATTCCTCACACCAAGGTGGGAGAGCTCCTTGGCCGGTAGGAGTCATCCTGCTGTGTTTTAGAATCCCTCCCCGGCCTCAGTGTCTCATGGCAGTGAAATGTCACTTGATCATGTCCCGCTGTGTCTTTCACGGTGTGCGTTCTGAATCATGTTCCAGTTGCTGGTCCTGTCACGTGGGCCCAGTAAGCATTTTGAGCATAACTACTAAATCTTTTTCAGATCAGTGTGATAAAGGAGTGATGTACAATAAAAAAAAAAAAAGGTTTAACAATTCCTTGATATCATTGGGTAGCCTGTGAGATTTCCCCAATTGTCTCCCAAACATTTGGTATTTGTTTGTTCAAATAAAAATCCAAACAAGGTCACACACTGCATTTGGCTGGGGGCTGGTTTGTCTTCCTCTTTTTTCCCCCCTTGCCACATATTCGTGGAGGAAATGGGGTTGTCCTTTAGGCTTTACCAATCTGATGTCATCCTTGTGGTGTGGTTTCAGTGCATTTCTCTGTCCTCATCTTGACCAACAGATGAACCAGTTCAGCTTCCTTTAAAAAAGAAAAATGTTTTCATTGATTTTCTTTTTTAGAGAGAGAGGAAGGGAGAGGGATTAGAGAGATAGAAACATCAATGATTGACATCTATTGGCTGCCTTCTGTACGCACCCTACTAGGGATTGAGCCTGCAACCCAGGCATGTGCCCTGACCGGGAATCAAACTGGGGACCCCTTGGTTCATGGGTGGATGCTCAGCCACTGAGTCACACCGGCTGGTCTAGTTTCCATTTTTTTGGCAAGTCTTTCCTAGAGGCCATTGTGCCCTCTTAGCAGGAGACACTCAAGGTCTGCTTGTCCCTCCTTTTGTGACATGAGTAGCCACCTAGACCCATCAGGGATGCAGTTTTTACTTCATTCTGAACGATTGCAAACATACAGAAAAGTTGGAAGAATGGTACAGTGAACACCCCTAGATTTCACAATTGCCATGTTGTTAAATTTACTTTATCATACTGTATCTATTCATCTATTTATTCATTCCTGAGCCATCAATCCATCTCACGTTTTGGACACAAATCAAAATAAGTAAATGCTGTTTGTGTGTGTGTGTGTGTGTGTGTGTGTGTGTGTGTGTTGAAATGTACATAAATTTTACCATTTTAGCCATTTTTAAGTGTAGTATTCAGTGGCATTAAATACATTCACAATGTTGTATAACCAACTCCACTATGGATTTATAGAATGTTGTCATTTTTCCAAGCAGAAACTGCCCCCATCCCACACTAACTCCCCATTTCCCTCCTCCACCAGCCCCTGGGAACCATCATTCTACCGTCTCTATGAATTTTCCTCTTTTAGGAACCTCATATAAGTGGAATATTTGTTTGGCTGTGCCCGGCTTATTTCACTTAGCATAATGTTTTCAAAGTTCACCCATGTTGTAGCATGTATCAAAATTTCCTTTTTAAAATTTATTTTTTGTTGACAGTATTCCATATGTCTCCCCATTTCCCCCTGATTTGCCCCCCTCCATCCAGCCCCCAGGCCTTCACCACACTATTTCTGTGTCCATGGACTGGGAATCAAACCAGCAACCTCTCAGTGCATGGGTCAACACCCAACTACTGAACCACACCAGCAGGGTGAATTTTCTTTCCTTTGAAGGATTAATAATATTCCATTGTATGTATACAACACAGTTTGTTTATTCATTCATCTGTTGATGGGATTTGGGTTGTTTTCACCTTTGGGCTATTGTGAATAACGCTGCTATGAATATTGGTGTGTAAGTATCTGAGTCCCAGCTCTTTTTTTATTTTTATTTTTTTAAATATATTTTATTGATATTTTACAGAGAGGAAGGGAGAGGGATAGAGAGTTAGAAACATCAATGAGAGAGAAACATCGATCAGCTGCCTCCTGCACACTCCCCACTGAGGATGTGCCCGCAACCAAGGTACATGCCCTTGATCGGAATCGAACCAGGGACCTTTCAGTCCGCAGGCCGACGCTCTATCCACTGAGCCAAACCGGTTAGGGCACTTTTTTTATTTTTATTTATTTATTCTTGAGAAAGAGAGAGACAGAGAGAGAGAGAGAGAGAGAGAGAGAGGCATTGATTTATTGTCCCACTTATTTATGCATTCATTGGTTGATTCTGTGTGTGCCCTGACTGAGGACCGAACTCCCAGCCTAGACATATTGGGATGATGCTCTAACTGAGCTACCGAGCCAGGGTCTGAGTCCTTGCTTTCAATTCTGTTAGGAGAGAAATTGCTGGATCATTCTGTTTAACTTTTGGAGGAACAAAGTTTTATATTCCTACCAGCAAAGTGTGTGTGTTCCAGTTTCTGCACATCCTCATGAACACTTGCTATTTTCTGTGGGTGTTTTGTTGTTGTTGTTGTTTTAATGGGAGCCATCCTC